CATTCGGTTCTCAGGGGGCTATGCTGCTGATTGCAAGTTCTGCTATTCCTTGCATGTAGGTAGAAATAAACAAGCATGAGATTTAATGGAAAGGAAAGTGACTTTATTCCAAAAGCTAGAGGGTGAGGAAATGGTCAGGCTCATGACTCAAAGAAACCATTTCAAAATTTTAGGCTGAGGAACGAGGACTTTTAAAGGGAAAAAATGGAATGAGGAGTATCTGGGAATGGCATAGGAAGCAGGCCTTACTTTGATGATTATCTTGAATTGTTGTCCACATAGAGGGCTGGCTGATGCCATCTGATTGTGGCCAGGTTGTAGATTAATTGCCCCTCAGATGACCTCTAAACAATGGAGAATTCTGTTGTGCGATCTCCATACTCTGTTACTCCAAAGTCAGTATCTGAATAGCCTGTGAAATTTCTCAAGCAAGAACACATTTAGAGCAGAAAGGGAAAAAATTTCTTAAAGTGTAGGCTAAGAGAGAAACGTTTCTCAAAAATTCTGTCGGTTACAGCTTTGAACATCACTAGCATTATACCTCATATCCTGCCCGCCCCCATCGAGCCATGCATCTTTGCCATTCTCCTTCCCTTGAGTGTCAAGTCATGTGCCAAGTCCTAGGGAAGTAGGCCTCCTGGCATTGCCCTTATAAGGGAACTTGAAAATTCCTTTTTCTGATGGACACGTGCCCCTCTGAATGTGAAGGGACTTGCCTTCTCCACAAGTAACTGGACAACTTCTTACTCACACCTGTTCCTGTCAAGTCCCTCACTTGGAGAAAAACACACCCAGAAGTTCTTATGTCCTCCACCCTTGGGTATGACTCCAAAGGACTGTAAATGGGCCCCTTGTCTTTTCATGGAACAAGCTGTTTATGATCTAAGGAGAGGGGATACCATAGATTTCCTTTCCTCTCCTCTTTCACAGACACAGAAGAGGACATCAGAAACAGATCCCCCCATCCTCTCAGCCCCATCCCCATGGTTCCCTCTCATTGGTGGACCTGCTCAAAGCATCTCTAAAGGGATGTATCATGTGACCCATTCAGTTGCTGGCAGTGGGGAAAACCAGGCATTTCAGAAAAGCTAAGCTCTCTGAACCTACTTGCTATTTGTGAAACTGAAGGCAATACAATTCAGCGCTGGAGGTAAATAGTACCATTGGTGAACACAGTATCAACACGCAAATATCTCCACACCGATGTTTACTGTACACTCTGAAGTTTGTTGTAATCAGATATGTCTTTTATTTCAGTAAGTGTAGCATCTTGCAGAGGACACTTACAAGTCCCCTGGGGGACTTGGGTCTGATTAATGATGATACCCTAGTCAATCTCCAGAAAGCCCATTCATCCCGTCTCCTTGGTCTTTGGTTGTCTACACAATGTCATTTTATGTCTGTATTATTTTATATGCTCAGTTACCTTTCTCAGGACTTCACTTTTTCTCTTCTCAGCCTATGAAATTGCTCTATATACATCAAAACCTAACTTTGTACACCATTCAACTTAGGTTACAACTTAACCAGAGAGAATGAGGCTTTCCCAGAGTACTTTGCCTTCAGTAAATCACACATAGTTTTGTCTTCCCACACTGAATTCTGAGCTTCTTAAACTAGGCATCATGCATTGTATATCTTTGCATCTCCTGTGCCTAGAATATAGCAGGTATCCAATAAATGCCAGCTGTCTTTAATAATGAAGTTTGTATGAATTAGAACATGAGTTAGCACTGTAACCTACATTGTGGAATGCCATCTTAGTTGATGGTAATAGGAATGTAATAAACAAAGCGAGGGAAGCAGTTTCCTACTGCATTCTCTCTTCAGGTAGTTGTCTTAATTAATACCACAACCAGTTCCAAAACTCACATATTAACAGGAGCCAAGAGAAGTCATGTGAATAGCAAGAGACTTAGAAACTTTTCAAAGGCAATAACCCATTTGTAAATCACAATATTTTGTAGGGAGTTTACAGATGTCTTCATTTATTTGCTAGTCTGCATGTGTAACTCGAAAAGGCAGAACTTGGAAAATGGGTGAATGTTAGAAGGTGCCACACTGAGGAGTGACACAAGGGTCTTGTCCTAAAATTTAGAATCATGCAGCAAAGAAAGGGGTCACCTCCCACTGCTGTGAGTGCCCTCACCCCTGGACTTGGTTCAAGCAGAGTCTCTAAGTCCGTCTTATAAATGTGTTGCAATGGGGATGTTCACATTCAGTCAAAGGGAGGAGGGCCTGGATGACCTATAGACTCCTTTGCAACTCCACGAGACTGGTTTAGTTATATCAGAACTTAAACCCAAGGAGATTTTTATGACAGCTTCTTCAACTTAGAAATAGAAACTCAAGATTCCTTCCAGCAAGCTAAACAATCCTTTGAAAATTATTTTCTAGTTCATGTCTGTCCAGGAGCCTTATTTGACATTGTGCACCTTGAAAGTCTCTGCCACATCAAGACAAATGTATAGAACTAAAATATCTAGACCTCTCTGCTAGAATCTACACAGGATTCTAGCAGCAAGCCTGAGGCTGGGCCATTTGGCTAGTCACTCAAGAATTTTAAAGTCAGATTAGAATGCAAATCTTGGGGGCCTTTATCCTGGTTACCATCTCCAGAATTAGGACCTGAGATAAAAGTCACTGAGAAAAAAAATGGCTCCAATAATCGCAAATGTATCTCCAAATTCCCTCCTCAGTGCCCTTCACATTGCTGAGATTGGGGCAAGGGTTTTCTTATATAGTTTTCTGACTGAAAATTCCACCAGGAAATTGTCTAGATCAACATTGCTCAAATATTCATGTGTGCAGAAATCACCCGGGGATCCTGTAAAAATGAAGATTCTGATTTAGTAGGTCTCAGGTGGGGCCTGAGATTCTGCATTTCTAACAAGCTCCCAGGAGGTGTCAATGCTGTTTCAGGGACCACAGGCAAGGCTGTTGAGAAGGCTATGCGGTATGACACTGGATACGACAGGGGGATTGCTATGGAGGCCCAAGGTAAGTAACACCTTCCCCCAATCCCAAGGAAACACCATTAAAAACAGGTGCTAGACTGCTGATTACATGTAATTTTTAAGGAGAATGTGCAGAGATGGGAGGGAAGCAGGGAGTCTCTCAGGAGGAAACTCTGAGTGATTCATGTGCTGGTTATTTTAGGAGGAGAAGCTGAAGGAAAGGATCTTCTTCTCAGGAGGAGATAATTATTTCCCACATCACTCTTTAGTTTTTCATAAAGTTTGCAAGGAGGGCAAGTAATTAATCCCTGGAGAAGTGGAGGAGACAAAGTTCTCAAGATGGAAAAACTACTTTTCCTGCTGGCCTTTACAGCAGAATCAGAAGTATCTGCCCACTTTTGGAGAGGCCCACAAAACTCTGGGGTCTTTTTTTTTTTTAAGTTTAATTGGAGATCAAGCTAAGTGGAAGTGATAACAAAAGGTTGGCACCTTGAGACTGTGTGTCCCAGAACACTCCCCCTACAACCGCAGCCTTTCTTCATAGCCTTGGCTCTATGAGGGTGGCCCACACTGTGACTATCCACACCCCAAGCAGAGCCTCTCCTCTAGGTATCCTGTGGACTGTGAGCCAAGCAAGTTTCAGAAGCAAGAGGAGATTTGCACCTACTCTTTGCTCTGCTTTGCTAATCCCAGTCCAATTCAGACTCAACCTTGTATAAGAAACCAGACACCAGAGCTATTTCTAGGCCCCACCATCTTTCCATGACTTCCTACACCATCCACAAATTTCCAGGGAACATCTTCTCTTATTCACCCTCCCAACCTGCTACACACACCAGTACCACTCTGTTTCCTCCTTCTCATCTGACTTCTACCAATCTTTGCTTTCTAACAAGGAGCCCTGGTCATCTATCTGGCCAGGCTTCTCTCAGGAAACCCATCCTCCAAGGGTCTTGGCAACTGGTCTTCCCTCTGTAATTTGGACTTAAGGTTCTGCGGGAGAAGAGAAGTAGTAGATCATGGGGACGGGAAGGTAGCAAGTCTGAGAGTGGTGATATAGCTCAGCTTTTTCCCCCTTCTTGAGTGCATGAAAAAGATAAGACTCTCATGACATTTCCAGAGAGCCATTTCTGTTGAAAGGCAAGAAGCTTTGGAGCCAGATAGAAGAAGTAGGCAGCCTGCATGTGAGGGAGAGCAGTCCAGAGAGGGGAATCAATGGCGGTACATGGAGTGTCCAGCTTCTTGGTTCTTCTCTAGAACCTCTTGTTTTCAGAACCTCATTCTAGACTTTGAAGCCAGTTCTTGAGAAAGGAACACATCCAAAATAAAAACTGCACACAAAGAAACACAAAAGAATTGACTAAAATCATAGAGCCAGACTGAGGAGGAGAGATTTTAATAATAAGAGCTACAGTTACAGAGCTCTTTTTTTTTGAGTTGGAGTCTCACTCTGTCACCCAGACTGGAGTGCAATGGCACGGTCCTGGCCACCACAGCCTTGACCTGCTGGGCTCCAGTGATCCTTCCACTTCAGTCTTCCAAGTAGCTGGAACTACAGGCGCACGCTACCATGCCTGGCTAATTTTTGATTTATTGTATAGGTGAGGTCTTGCCAAGTTGCCTGGGTGGGTATCAAACCCATGGGCTCAGGCAATCCACTCACCTCGGCCTCCCAAAGTGCTGAGATTACAGGCTGAGCCACTGAGCATGGCCTGGAGCTCTTAATATGTACTACACCTTCTACAAAGAGCTTTATTTGGATTATCTCATTTAATTGTCATCATCCACTGTGCTCACTCCATGCTCCCTTGAAATAACCCATTCCTTAACTATCTGAGGCTCACAGATACTTGCCTTTGAGACTTTCTAAAGGCAGGTGTTTATTAATTATTGGTAATGTGTGGGCAGAGACTTGCATGAAGATGAAGAAGCAAAAAAGGTCAAGAGGGAGATTGAGGAGTTCCAGCCTGGGCACCTGGATGCCCTCCTGAAGCAAAGGCCTGTATTCCTTGTGACTTGGCAGGTGCTCTTCAGTCCTCTTATCTATGGACTGCTGGGTCTCAAGAGGATCCTTTTAGTTACATTCTCAATGACCACCTTGACCTTCTCATTCCAGAAGGTAAAGATGAAGGAGTTGAGGAAAGAGGTTACCACTGCAATCATCAAGGCCAACACCTTGTTGAGGTGTGGGGAGTGGCCCTTGCCTGGCCTCACATATATGAAGCTGGCACTGCCATAGTCCAGAACCACCACTTTGAGGTGGGAGGCACAGGTGGAGAAGGCCTTCTGGCACCTCAAGGAGGAGGGGATGTGCTGCACTACAGCCACAATGAGGATGTAGAAGATGACAAAGGGTAGCATGGTGGTCAGCACAAAGAGTGAGGACAGGAAGAAATCCATGTGCTCAGTGTGGATGGTATCAGAGCAGGAAAGCTTGAGGAGTGGGGCAGAGTCACAGAAGTAGTGGTCAATGGCGTTAGGGCCACAGAACCAGACGGTGTTTTCTGTAGTGTGGGGAAGATAATGGAGAGGAACCCGACCACCCAGCAAGCCAACACTAGCTTCACACACACTGAACCACTCATGATGGTTGAGTAGTGCAGAGGGTGGCAGATGGCCACGTAATGATCAAAGGCCATGACTGTGAGGATCAAGAAGTTGGGTGAGCCCAGGGAGAAGTAAAAGAAAGACTGAGTCAGGCATTCAGCCAGGGACATGGTCTTGTGAGTGGACAGCAGGTCTGCCAGCATCCTTGGCACCACAGTGGAAGTGACCAGTATCTCCATGAGGGAGAAGTTGCAGATGAAGAAGTACATGGGTGAGAGGAGGCAGGTGAGGGTGATGATGGCCAGATTGCCCAGCTCATATACCAACAGGATGAGAACAAACAAGAGAACCTGGAACTCACGGAGATGAGAAAATCCCAGGAGCACAAACTCCCTGACAACACTGTAGTTACTCATTGCATTTGATGCCAGTTTTCTGTAATACCTATGAGAGGTCAGAAAATCTTAGTGGAACATTGCCATCAACTTCTCTCCTGACCGGATCTCCTGATGGTGACCTGGCTTCCCAAGCACACTAGCCTGCACGCATGGTTGATCTCAGTGTTCAGAAGACACATTCTCAAAGGGCAGACATTTCTCTGGGATGAGGAATGGGCCAGCTGGGATAATCAGGTTAATGAGTTGAGTGCCCCTACATTGTCACCACTCCTAAACTCTTTCTCTTCTGTCTTCTACTTGCTCATTATGCTATACAGCACATATTCTAAGTCCCAACTCTGGAAGACATTTGACTGGGTCTGAGCATGAAGTGGCAAATACTTCCTAACTGTCAGTTATAATAATCTGTTGATCAAATAGTAGCTAATATTTACTGTTCTTTTCCCATGCCAAGTACTATGCTAGGTACCTTATACATTGAGCACCTTTTGTGCTCAATTCTCATCCTTTTTATCTTCTCTATAACATTTCAGGCTACAAATAACTCATTTTTGAAATCACTTCCACCCTTCACTGCAAGGACCCTTCACTCTTTAAGTTCTCCTACGATTTTGTATTTTCCTTATGTGGTTCCTTCTCCAGCTCTCTGTCTCTCTGCCATTTTCTAAACATGGATGTCCCCACATTTCTCTTCTCATACTTAAAAAAAAATCTCTGTTCTGTCTTCTTCAACAAAGCAACCTGGAAAGTATAAATGAATCACAAATTTGAAATTTTTTTTCTCCTCTGGGTCCCAGTCTCCATCTCTAACTGCCTGAATACCACCACACAATCAATGAGTTCAAAAATACATACACTGCTCTCCCTTACCCAAATATCATGTTCATGGTTACCAAATATCAGTCATCAGGATTCAGATCTAAAAGGCATCTCTTATTTTTCCTTCTCTCTTCTAAACTACTTGAATTCTACCCTTAGAAAATTTTTTGTAGTCCATTCTCCCTTGTTTTATATAGACATCACCACCCTAGTTCAAGGACTTGTTTCTTCTGAATCATTGCAACAGCATTTTTAACCAACCCATACACTGCACTGATATTATGTTTATATTTCTAAGTTACTATATTAGTACCTATATTCCCCATGGTGTACATTATGTCTCTAGAATGTATTCATTCTATACAATTGAAACTTTGTACCCTTTGTTTTACTATATATACTTGTTTCTTTCCAAATTGTCTTCACTTGAGTTTGAATTATCTTCATATATCACTTTAGTGATCAGAAAAAAAAAGTTAGCAACAGTAACACCTGTTCTTTCCCTTGTCAGCCAAATCAAGCACAACCTCCCCCTGGCAATCCCTGTCCCTCAACAGCTCTGCCCATAATCAATCCCCCAGTTTTACCCACACATCCTCCTCGCCACACACTTTGTGCTCCCCCAAACTGGACCCTTGCAATTTCTCCTATATTGTTAATTCCACTTTGCTTTCACATTCTTCCCTTACCGATCCCAGTGCCTGGAATACCCTGTCCTGCCATCTTTGCTTGGTAAATTCTTAATTACCCACCAGGGACTTTCTCAAATGTCCCTTCTTTATAAAGCTACACCTCCCCCATCCAGATGTGAAGGCATCCTGCCTAAAATTCCCAATCAGGAAAGTTACCATATTCTTCTTTGCATTAAAATTATTTGGGTGCCAGTCATATGTCAAATCCTAGATTTCTAGTTTCTCTGTAGTTGGACTTTTTTTCTTTTAAATCTACACTGAGCTACCATCTAACTCCAGTCAGAATGGCCATCATCAATAACTCAAAAAATAACAAATGCTGGATAGGATGTGATGAAAAGGGAACACTTCTACATGGTTGATGAGAGTGTAAACTAGTACAGCCTCTGTGGAAAACAGTGTGGTGATTCCTAAAAGTTCTAAAAATTGATCTTCCATATGACCCTGCAATCCCCCTA